CCCCCCCCCGCAAAATTTTTATCTTTACCTCCTTCATAAAAATGAAGAGCAAACACAAGTAGTGTTACTTAAATAATAAAAATATCCCCTAAAATAGGCCCTCATTAATTTGGGCCTGCCCACGTTGCAGGTATTTAATCACTTTTTATTTACAAGAAACTTAATATCCCAAGAAAGCAAGAAATTAAAAAAAGTAAAGAATTAAAGAATTCAGCAAAATGGTGTTTGTCATCATAATTGTGTAAACAGAACATTTTGCAAAATACCTACCAAAATTTTAAAGAAAAATTAGAGCCATTTTTGAGAAATTCTGTTTTTTGATGATTTTTAATATATGATCTTATTTCACACAAAATTGCAGGAAAATTACTGCAATTGAAAAAAAGTTGCATGATGTTAATAAAAGAACTAATTGTGGGGAATATATTTCATTTGAAAAAATATATCTTTAATATTGTCATTGTAAAAAGACGCCGAAAAAATCAAACTTTTGCAATCTCTGAAATTTTAGAGTGAAGTGTAAATCGGATCTAGCCATGTAAACATGTACTAACAGACTCCGTCAGATATCCTGCTCTCAATCTCCCACCCGCTCCCTCTTTCTCCTTCAACCTTTCTTTCTCACTCTCTTAGTTTCTCTCTGTCCCTGTCTCGTGAGCTATGTCTATCTCTCACTCTCTCCCTCTCTCTCTTTTTTAATTTTTTTTACTGCAGTTGGTGGAAATCTTCAAAAGACACTGGGCAGCCCTCGCCACCCAGCATGTGAGATTTTTACTCACCAAAACCGAACCTCCCTTAGACATTACATCGCGGAGTGGAATAGTAACCCAGTCACATGACGTATTCAATATATCCTGGTGTTAGACGAGTGATCATGATTCTTCCCGCCTTTCTTTTTCCAGGCGCCTGAATTCGAGCAATACTTGTTGGGCAAATGTACACACCGCCCTCCAACTGCTTTCAGAAGCAAGCTTTCATTAGCAACTAAGTTTTCTGGATTCATCTGCCCTATCCGGTGACTCGTTGAGGATCGAAATGTGGGCACTAAAAAAACACTTTCGGCATCCTTGACAGTAGGTTCTCACTCAGGACAGTTCGGGGTACCAACCAGTTTAAGCCTGTGGATGTGGGCTCTGAATCTTCCATGTCCCGTGAGAAGTTGGGTGAGATAATTTATCCCATCGTGCTTTTGATTCAACTAGAAATCAGTTAGAGGTCCACCGTCCCTTGGATGAAGTGTTCCATCGCTGCTGCCATTCTTCAAGTGGTTCCAAGCAGTTTCGCATACCATCTTTCTTTTCATAACGCATTTTCCGTTCACGGGCCAATATATCTATTGGGATCATCCCGGCTATGAAACTGCTTCATTAGAGACGGCGCAGAACACACATGCCATCCTGAGCGCAGACAGCCGATATATTGACGCCATTCCTCTTACGTAGCTTTTCGTGTCTGTAGAGGGGGCCCAAACGGGCGATCCGTAGAGCAGAACGAATAAGCAGCTTTCTCTTTTCATGACTAGAACCTCTAGTGTTCGGCATTAACCCAGTCAACGCAGTATATTGATCACTACTACTTCCTGGCTGGCATAGTCCAAGTGGTCTCTTAAAGGACAAACGCGTGGCGATCACGATGCCGAGGTCGCGATGAAATTTTGTGATGCCCGACTTTGAGAGTGATAGATTCTCTCCTTCCTGCTAGTTACAAGCATCACTTCTGTTTTGTGTTTGGCAAGCTGCAATCCTGCGTAACCCACTAAAGACTGACAATGGCAATGGCTACATTGCAGATACAGTCAATTTCTTCTATAAAGTTTGTAACGACGACGATGGCAATGTCTGCGAAGCCAATGATCTTGGTTCGTTTTAGGAGTGGGTGCCTAAGAACCTCATCGTACACGACATTCCACAGCAGTGGACCCAGCCCCGAACCTTACGGGACCCCGGCGGTGATGTGTACCTTCGGTCCATCCGTATTGTACACCAGGATACTGCGATTAAGATATTCAGCCACAATCCTCGTCGAATATGTAGGCACATTGATTTACTGGAGGGCTTTACTAACGTCAATTCATCTTGTCGAATTAAAGGCATTTTGAATGTCCAAAGTTACAATCGCCCTGTACTTTTTCGGACCGTACTTGTTTTCTGAGTGACCTCCTTTTTACTTTCCCGTATACGTACGTATATACGGAGTAATATACGTGGTATAGGGAAAGTAATGTAATACTGCGAGATTTCATCGGAAATACACCTTTTGGGATTCCCTGATACCGAAAAAAGTGTTGTTTTTTTTTTTCGAAACGTCCATCCGTCAGTCTGTCTGATGTATGTTAACAACACTAGCGCCTAAACCATGCGCAGGATTTTTTTTCCAATTTGAAGAATCCTGTCTATTTGGCCCGAGTCGAAGCTCTGTGATATTGAAAATCATTCATTAGATTTTAGGGGTACTTTAGATAAAGCCCCAGGGACATTTTCAAAATGTTCTCAAAAATGGCACCAAATTTTTTCTTTAAATTTCTTAGACGAATAGAGTAAAATGCACTTATAAATGCGGCATATGTCCGATTTTCACGGTTAACTCTGAATTTTCGAAACTTTCTAAAGTTTGATTTTTTTTTTTTTTTTTTTTTTTTTTTTTTTTTTTTTTTGTGTCTTCCTGCAACTAAATTAGAGATTTTTTCTTCCAATAAAATTTCTTGTTCTTAATTTGTTTTTTAATTAAGGTCATGTACATTTTTTTTGAAAATTTTCGTAGTTTTCGCACAGTGTTCTGTGTAATTTGTGCAAGTAAAAAAATTACACAAACAAGATTTTCTCAAAAACTGCTCAACATTTTTTCTTTAAACTCTTGGTAGGGATTGTGCTTATCGCACTCTACAAGATGACAAACACCTTATTGCTCTTTTCTTTTGCTTTTTAAAAAAATACAAAAATGTAATTTTTGAACTTTTCTCACGTCGTTAATATTTACATTAACAGCAATTTACTCACATATTTATGAGTACATGTGCTTGAAATAATGTCACATAAAGCTTCTCGAAAACAACTGTTTTCTGTCAAAACTAGCTCAAAATTTCGTAATTTCAGAAACGCTCAAATGCCATTTTCTTAAAATGGGCTCCAATTTTGTACTCTTGCATATGACGTAATGTTAATTTCGGGGAATGTTTAATTTTTTTAAATACACAAAGATTTGCTTTTGGTTGTTAATTGCTTTACGTTAGCTGAAGAGGGATAATCTATAGTTAGCGGGGCGGTGAAATACGGTACATTTAGGAATTTCTCTATATATTTTTTTCTCCGTGGGGGACAACATTGAGGTATACCAGTTACGCCAGTTTGAAGTGCGCTGTGAGTGCGTATAGTTTTTCCGGAGTTGTAGGCGCAATTTTTGCTTCAGTTCTAAGCGGGGATTGTTTGGATTGGACGGGAGAAATGTCAGCAGGTTCCAGAGGTGGTTCGAACTTTTATCTAATTTACTAATAATTATTATTAAATTTAAGTTTTAGTTTTAAACAATATCATTACAAAAAACTAGTTATTTAAATTATTTTTAAATTTAGTAAACGAAAATTTTTGAAACAGGGTTGCAGGTAAGCTATTCCAATCTCGCATCGATCTATTCACAAATGAAAACTTTCGTGCATCTGTTCGTTGCTTTTTCTCCTGAACTTTAAAAATTTTGTTATTTTTGCCAGTGTACGATGTCTTTTCTAGCCTTCGAATATCTTCCCAAGCTTTGCCTTTCCCCAAATACGTTCTGTGCATTGCCAGCAGTCTTAGCTTCCTTCGCCTTTTCTCTAATGTTTCCCACCCAAGAGTAGATTTATTGTTCATATTTTTAGTTTTTGTCCACAATAAACTTAGCCGTTCGTTTCTCAACGCGTTCAATGTTCTGTATTTCTGCAGTTCTATACGGGCCCCAACAGATCGTGCCGTATTCGAGTAAAGGTCTGACCAATGACGTGTTGCTAAATCTTTGGACTTATTTCCTCCTTTTAAATTTCTCATTACAAAGGCTAGGCTACACCAAGCTTTATTTAATGCTGAATTCACCTGTCCTTTCCAAGTTAACTTACTATTTAAAATGATTCCCAGGTATCGACAACTATCTGTACATGGAATTATCTGATCCTCGAGAAAATGCATTTGGGTTTACGAGTAAATGTTATAAATTTACATTTAGAAGTTTTAATTTTCATACGATTATCGTGCGCTCATTTTAAAAGTGTCAAAATAATTTTGAAGAATCTGTTGATATTTCTCTTCAGTTATTTTTCTGAAGAGAATGAAAGCATCTGCAAAGTGCTTGACCGGGATTTAATATTTTCTGAAATGTTGTTCATGAAGGTTCTCTAACCATCACTGGCCCTATCCCACTGCCCTGCGCACGCCAATGTTTGGATCTCCTGAGTACGGTGACCAACCTTAACATACTGTATAAGATCTTTAATAAATTATTTAATTCAATTTACTACTTGTTTATGTATACCTGATGATGCTACTTTGTTTAGGAGTATGTCGTGAGGAACA